TGTGTGTGTGTGTGCATGTATGTGAGTGAGTGTGAAAGAGAGAGAGAGAGGGAAAGAGAGAGAGAGAGAGAAAGAAAGAGAGAGAGAGAGGGAGGGTGGATAGAGAGAGATGGATGGAGGTGATGGGGTGCTGGGTTGTTATTCCAATTCAAGATAGAACGAGAGAAACTTCTCGACAGGAATTCCCATCGCAATCCCCCTTGGCCTGGATTTGTACACTTACTCAACTACGAATCCCAGCTGCAAGTTGGCACCGAGCCCACGAATAAAAAGGAGCAATTAACCGCGATAGTAAAATTAACCGTCACACTTTATGTTCCCGTAACTCTGCATCCCCCATCAGAGTAAATAGTCGTAGGGAGATGGACCGCACCAGTCGAAACTAAAGCAGGATATACTTCGAGAAGATTCTTAGCAGTCAAAGCCTTCTTTCGCATTTACGTTTGAGTCGAATAAGGCAAAAATTCTCTACATGATTTCAGCGATAAAACCCAGCGGCCCCGACGAAAAAAGACAGAGAGGAGGAATGGACATACATAAATCTCTTGCGAAATAGCTAGCATTGCGGTTAGAAATTGAGAGATGTTTACGCGAAGTCCTTTTCTTTCTCTTTATGCGTCCTGGTTTTGGGTTTATGGTTAGGAAAACGGAGTCGTTGATGCTAACCAGCCATTCGGCTTTGACAAGAAAAGGAAGACACCCAGAAACATTATGCAAACTCTGAGAAAACTACCAAAGGCAGTCTTTCCTCTTTAACAGTTTGAGTGGCACCTTACGCCGAGTTAATGCAAGAGCGGGTCTATTTCGTCAGAAAAGATTATTACAGTATGATGTACAACTTCTGAAAAGCAGGAAGCTTTTAAAAAGCTGTCAACATCTATTATGTTATCCGCTCATGCTACAACTTCACTCCACTAGAAAAACGGGGGATAGAGTAAAAGGGAATGTTCTCACTCTTTCTCTGTCTCTCTGTTTCTCTCTTTCTCTGTGTCCCTCCACCTCTCTCCCCCTTCTCTCTCTCCCTGTCCCTCCACTCTTTGTCCTCTCTCTTTCCCCACCTTCCCTCCACCCTCTCTCTCTCTCCCGTCTGTCTCCCTGTCCCTCCGCCCTCCCTCTTCTCCC